TCAGCCATTGTTTTTGTTGTGGTTTCTCAGTTGACGAAGGGGTTTTTTTCGGGTGGCATTTTATTGTTGTTGCGGTTCTTTTGTTGTTTGAAAACAAACGCTGCTGTTGCACATCAATTGCATTCTAAACAAAGCCAGCTGATGCATAGACGTTCATAGACAGGCTGGACCCATTACAAAAACAAAACAAAACAAAAGTCATTGACATGATTAGCAAATGATAAGCACAACATTTCTCGAGCTTTGACACTTGGTATGGAAGGAGGGATAATAACTAAGTGAGGTTATGAAGTTGTGAATGAATTTAGAGTGGATTGAAGCTTTTATGATTTATGGCGGGAAAAACGACAAATCGATTTCCTTTTTGTTAAAAAACCTGAAAATGCAAATTAGTTGGAAAACAAATGTCACACAATAAAAATAAAAGCTTTTTGTCAACACAATTTGTCAATTAAAATCGACAGTCGGACAGGCACTCATTCATCCGTCATTCATATTTATATTACCTACCTACCTATCTTTGTTTATGGATGTATGTACAGTATGTCAAGAATGACTTTACACATGCATAATTATTAAACATTTTCAAATGTAGAAGCTTGAAATAACACTTATTATATTATTTTTGATATTTATTGGCTATTTATAATAATTGTGTGATGCACATAATACAGTTTGAGTAAACGAAAATAAAATTTAGTGCAAAATAAAAGAACAGTGCAACAAAAACAAATATGGCTCTGTTTTACCAGTGTCAAATAACTCTTTACACATCTCTTGTTTTTTTTTGTTAATGCGAGCACTGTATGAAGATTAACGGTACACTACCGTTAGCTTTTGCGTGTTCTACTCTTTTGTTTTATATTGGGAATCATTTGATGACAAAATCTTTAAGTGTGCGCAACATACCTTGAAATAAAGTATTGAAAAAATGCCAGGCAAAAGGTTATCCTATGATGTAATTCAGTTGATATATTACAATCGCCAAATGGGAAAAAGTGTGATCGAATTATCGGAAATGTTTTCAGTTACACGAAAGACGATTTACAATGTATTAAATCGAGCAGAAAACGAGGGAAGATTGGAGTTAAAGCGAGGTGGTGGTCCGAAGCCCAAAATTAATAAGCGTACTGAGCGCATAATTATTAGAAAAATTATGCAAAACCCTCAAATTTCCACAAGGAAGCTTGCGAGGGAGCTCGAAGAAGAGTGTGGTGTTAAAGTTTGTCACGAAACAATTCGACAGACAATATTAAAAAACAAATACTCATCAAGAGTAGCACGCAAAAAACCCTTACTATCTGCAGCAAATATAGAAAAGAGATTTTCCTTCGCCAATACGAACGTTTCACACCCGACTGAATATTGGGACAACGTTATATTTTGCGATGAAACTAAAATTATGTTATATTATAACGATGGGCCAACCAGAGTATGGCGTAAGCCTTTAAAAGCACTGGAAAGGCAGAACATCATTCCAACAGTCAAATTTGGGAAAATGTCAATAATGATTTGGGGGTGCATATCAAGCAAAGGTGTGGGAGACTTAGCGTTTATTGAAACAACTATGGACGCACAACAATATTTAGATATTTTAAAGAAGCATTTGGTAACCAATGCTATGAACTTTGGGTTCATCAGGGACAACAAGCCACATTTTAAATTTTATCAGGATAATGATCCTAAGCATAAGTCACATATAGTGCGGATGTGGCTTCTATATAACTGTGGCAAAGTTTTGGATACGCCAGCCCAAAGTCCCGACCTTAACCCAATAGAAAATTTGTGGGTCTATTTAAAAAAAAAGGTGGCTAAACGGCAGCCAAAAAATATAAAAGCATTAAAAACTGCAATATTGGATGAGTGGCATAACATTCCGAACAATTATGACTTGCAAAAGTTGGTCCACTCGATGAAAAAACGTCTACAATGTGTGGTAGATGCAAAGGGTGGCCATACAAAATATTAAAACTATGAAAATGTGTACATCAATATTATTATTTTTATATTATATACCTTAACATTTACTTCTTGTGAAAAGAGTTAATTGACAATGTTAAAATTGAATATTTTTTGTTTTTGTTAATTTTTTTTATGTCTTTAAACTGAAGTTGCTATTTTTTTGCATTTTATCTCTGTACATATGTATACAATTATAAAAAAATGAAAAAGATAACTTTATTAAAAAATAATGTATGTTTATTACTACTAAAGTTGAAAAAATTGTGTATTTATTCAATGTGTAAACTCATTCTTGACATACTGTATGTCTGTATGACTAAAAAATTACAACATTTTTATTACCTACATAAATGATGTCGTCTTTCTTTGTTTGCATTCGACGAAAGTTGTAAACCTCCGGCGAGTTGAAATTTGAGAAATGGGAACGCAGCGTTTTAATTAGTTTGGCTTTTTTAAAGCGCCGTGAACTCAGCTGCAAATGAATTACGAGCCAGCGTGGAAATATCCATATGGTAATTTCTTTTGTTGTCATTCGATAGGTCAATGGCATTTCCGGTAAAAAGCGGTAATTTCTTCAAAATACCTATCAGCATTTGGGAGTGAAATGTTTGAGTGGAAAGACGTAGAGATGGCAGAGTAAATCAGCAAGGAAGTTTCTATAAACAAAAAATGCTCAGGTCCCTGGGAAGAGATTTTTTCAATGGAAAAGAATTCCTCAGACCCTGAGGGGATTTTTATAGAAAATAATTCCTCGGACCCCAAAGGTAACTTTACTTTTATAAAAAAAAAAATGGACAAAACCCAGAGGATAATTCACCTTTAGAAGAATAAAATCTCTGGACCCTTTCTTTAAAAAAACATTTCTCAGTAAAATTTTAAAATTTTCTCAGGGCCTCTAAGACAATTTCTTCTTTAGAAAAAAATTCTTAAGGCCATGAAGAATTTTTCTTAGAAAAAATCCTCAAGGCCCTGAAGGCCACTCGTCCGACTCATATTTGTCTATCATTAGAGCACTCCAACATTTAAATGTCAATAAATTTTTTTGTGTCTCGTACCATCGCTCGTTACCGTGATACTGGTAGCGTAGCCTGACGTTAAGGAAGTAGACGCAAGAAAACAGCAACATCAGCAGAAATGGTTCGAAAAGTAAAGAAGCGCAGCGACTTGATCGAAACCCGCATCGCAGTGGCCGAAAAATGGCTCGTGAGCTGAACATATCGCGATATTCCATTCGGAAAATATTGAAGAAGGAGCTCCGGGTAAAGCCATTGAAATTTCAAAAAGTCCAATCAAGGAAATACACTCAAAAGAGCTAAAGAGTTGCTTCGCTTGGCTGAAAGTGGTGAACTGCCGAATTTGGTTTGGTCTCCGATGAGAAAACATTCGTTGTCCAGCAGTTTGTAAACAAACAAAATGATCCGCTCGTGTTTACTTGCCAAAGAGGTCAGCTGAAAATGTGCACCAGAACTCAAGCGCCGGCCATGGTGATGGTGTGGGCCGCCATAACATCCGATGGTTGCTCTCCGCTCGTATTAATCGACCTTGGCATCAGAATAAATGCGGAATATTATCGCGAAAATATTCTGGAGGGTGTATCAAAGCCGCAAACATTTTGGCCGCAGACCTTGGATATTCCAACAGGACTCAGCACCATCGCACTTAGCACGCGCCCCCATGAATGGCTGCAAAATGAGGTTTCTCGCTTCATTTCCAGCGCACAGTGGTCACCAAAATCTCCGGTTACCAATCCGTTGAACTATTGTGTCTGGAGTATTTTGGACAGCAAGGTTGGCACTAAAAATACCAAAGTGTCGATCACCTCAAGCAAGTGCTTCGCCAGGAATGGGTCAAAATACCGCAGAGCAACATTCGGAAAGCGTGTGACGTTTTCATTGGCCATTCGAAGGCCATAATTCGTGCCAAAGGTGACCAATTCGAACAAATCTAAACTTATTCTAAAATTCAATGCTATTTCCGACATTTTTTGCTTTGATTCAATAAAATTTAAAAAAAAAAAGGTAAAAATCCTTAGAACCCAGAGGACATTTTCTTCTTTGGAAGAAAATTATCTATGGTCCCTTTCTTTAGAATAAAAATTTTCTCAGGGCCTTTAGAACAATTCCTTTGTTAGAAAAAAATCTCCAAGTCCCTAATTACATTTTTTATAGAAAAAAAAAAAAAAATACTTTCAGGGTCCTGAGAAATGTTTCTATCCTCCATCCTCCAAAAAAGACTAAACAAATCACTGAGAACCATATTATTTACACATAAGTAGCTTAATCACAGAAAAAACACACACAATTCAATCTTTCGAGTTGACTGCTGTGCGTCGCAACTGCCACACAACCCGCCGCCATCTCCCTTTCCATCAAAATCGCAATCATCATTCTCAATTCATATGAGACGTATTTTAATTTATTCGCATTCAGCAGACAAATTTGTTGTACAAAAACTAACAACATAAATGGCTAGCAGCAGCGGCGGCGGCTGCGGGTCTTATCCACAAGCTGGATGGATGAACGACACAGCGAACGACAATCATCCATGGATCGCCAGACACATTTTATTTCAAGTCATTGCTACTTGTGTGTGAAGCTGCCCGGCCACTGGCTGCCTCGGCTGATAATGAGCCTCAAGAGTATGTTGAGATAATAAAAACGCGCTACGACATGCCTCCTACTCCTCCCCATCCTCTTAAATGTAAATTTCGAACCTAATATCCGTTTGACAAAAATTAAACGGATATTCCTTCAAGACTCTGTGACGGCTGCCTGCCAGCCAGCCAGCCTTGTGTAATTTACACTGGCTCTAATTTGTTGTGTGATTTATGACATGCCCGCTTCCACTTTGCTCTAGTACAGGTCAAGTTCAAAATGATAATCTCTACAAATTTTGAAGATGAAGATCATTTATTTCGAAATCATTGTTTTGACATTGTTCTAAATCTGTTTTCTGTTCTGCAGAGAATTTACTTTTATTAATTTGCACATCACAAATAATTTACTAAATTGTTGTTGTTGTTTTTTTTGTAATTTCAGTATTGCAATGGCGGCGATTTGGCTGATTATTTAAGTGTCAAGGGTACTCTGAGCGAGGACACGGTGAGGTTATTTCTGATTCAATTAGGTGAGTTATTTGCTGTGGGAGCCATTGATATTGAATTTTATTTAATTTGGAATATTTTTCTTTTTCAGCTGGTGCCATGAAAGCTTTGTATACCAAAGGAATTGTCCATCGGGATCTGAAACCACAAAATATTCTACTATCGCACAACTATGGCAAAACACTGCCAGCACCATCGAAAATCACATTGAAAATAGGTAAATAAAAACCAGTAAAGAAAGTCTTCAAGTCGGGCGGGGCCGACTTTATGATACCCTACACCACTTTGCTAATTAAGTAGAGCTCCACATTAAATTAAAAGTTTTTATGGCAGAATTCAATCATACACGCTATGATTATAATTATAATTTAAAGTTTAAAGGACTAAATATGCCGAAGCATTTGTATCTTTTAAATTCGGCATTGTATTGCCCATTTGGTGCACAATTAATTTGAAATCGGATAAAGATATATATATGGGAGCTATATCCAAATCTGAACCGATCTCGATAAAATTTGGCAAAGATATTTCTGAGCTGTATTTGATATATTTCCCAGAATATCGTTGTTACGGAGTGCATATTACGGCTGTGGGTAACAAATATAACAAATCGGATGAATTATATATATGGAAGCTATAGCTATATCTGAACCGATCTTCAATGACATACTAGCTTCTAGACTCAATTCGGTCGTAAGTGCCAAATTCCATCCCATTTGGACAAATATTAGACGTTTGGTGCACAATAAATGGTAAATCGGACGAAGTTATATATGGGAGCTATATCCAAATCTGAACCGATCTCGATAAAATTTAGCAAATGTATTTCTGAGCTGTATTTGATATATTTCCCCAAATATTGTTGTTGCATAGTGCATATTACGGCGGCGGTGGACAAAAATAACAAATCGGATGAACAATATATATGGGAGCTATAGCTATATCTGAACCGATTTCGATCAAATTTGGCATACATATTTTCAGGTGTATATACATATTTGGGTGTATATGCAAAATTCCATACAATTCGGGCTGATATTACATGTTTGGTGCACAATAAAAGGCAAATCGGACGAAGATATATATGGGAGCTATATCTAAATTTTGACCGATTATTTCCAATTTCAATAGGGTTGGTCCTTGGGCCAAACAAAAGATCTTTGCAAAATTTCATCTGGATCGGTCAGTAAATGCGACCTGTACTTTGTTTACAAAAATACATGGACAGACGGACGGACGGACATGCATAAATCGACTCAGAATGTGATTCTATGCAGATCATCAAAAGGAACTATGGGTCTATCTCGTTTCCTTCTGCCTGTTACAAACAAATGCACAAAGACATAATACCCTGACCACCTTGTGGTGTAGGGTATAAACAGCAAAATAGAACCAATAAAAATTAAAAAAAAATCGTAGCTTTGACTAACATATGGTCCTGGAAATTGAATGAGATAAAGTTTTAAGTTACACATATTACACCTGGTGGGCACTTTTTGATTATCTTTTGTCAAAAAGTGATCCTTGAACTTGTAGGCTTTATGTATTTGGAAAAGACGATTTTTAGCCCTTGATATCAAAAATACTTTTATATGTGGCTTAAGTCCATAAATTCTTATTAGATTTTTTAAATATAAAGTTCTACGAGACCAACATAACAGTTCCATTTCTTCTAGAATATTTAAAAATCAAAAATCTTTATAAATTCCAAAGATAAGATAGGTTTACAAACCCTTCAGAATTAGATTTTGAGTCTGAAAGACGACATATGACATTTACGCGATCCCTTTAATCTCTCTGAAACCCTTTCTATTGAAAACATTCTTTATATCAAAAATGTCCTTGGCATTTTTATGGTCCTGTTTAAAACGTAATCTAGCAGATTTCCTTCTGATCCCTTAAGAAGATAAAAACATAATCCATGGCTGTCATACTCCCCATGAACATAATCCCCATTAAAATCATGGCAATTATGAGCGTATTGAAAAAAGGAATATGTCATAAGCCCCAGAAAGTAGCGGACATAATTCATATAAAAATTGGGATTTTTTGGATCCCCATAATTGCAATGGCCACCAAATTTTCTACTGAATGAATAGATTAGGTTTTGAATGCCTAAATGTTAAATGCACCGAGAAGCCTATGCCCATCTGAAAGTCAATGACCTTTTGAGAGCCTACAGGATATCATATTACCCTCCTCACATTTCTTGTGCGACATGAAAGTATTCAAGAAAAAAGATTCCATAGATCAATTTTGTTTAAGACTTTTGGAAGAGTATTCTCCATCTAACCAGGACACTGGATATAATTTAGAAATGGTAGGAAAGATATTGAACTTCATAAGCACCAAGCATTGGCATGCTTTCAGTCTAAAATTCAAGGACATTTGTAGAGCCTACAGAATGACATATTACCCTCCTCACATTTCTTATGCTCTACAGCGTGAGATAAAAAAGAGTGCAACAAAGTCAAACGCCATAATTTTTACATTTTTTTTAAATTTTATTGAATGAAAGGAAAAAATGTCGGAAATATCATCAAATTTTAGAATAAGTTTAGATTTGTTTGAATTGTCCACCCTTGGCATGAATTATGGCCTTCAAACGGCCAATGAAACCGTCATACGCTGCCCGAATGTTGCTCTGCGGTATTTTGGCCTATTCCCGGCGAAGAGCTTGCTTGAGGTGATCGACACTTTGGTATTTTTTTTGGTGCCAACCTTGCTTTCCAAAATACTCCAGACACAATAGACCAACGAATTGGTATCCGGGGATTTTGGTGACCATTGTGCGCTGGAAATGAAGCGAGGAACCTCATTTTGTATACATTCTTGGGTGGCGCGTGCTGAGGGCGATGGTGCTGAGTCCTGTTGGAATGTCCACGGTCTGCGGCCAAAATGTTTGCGTGCCCAAGGCTTTAATACACCCTCCAGAATATTTTCGCGATAATATTCGGTATTTATTCTGATGCCACGGTTGATTAACACAAGCGGAGAGCGACCATGGGCTGTTATGGCGACCCAAACCATCACCATGGCTGGCGCTTGAGTTCTGGTGGCCAACCGAAGGTGCACATTTTCAGCTGACCTCTTTGGCAAGTAAACACGATCATTTTCGTTGTTTACAAACTGCTGAACAACGAATGTTTTCTCATCGGAGACCAAACCAAATTCGGCCGTTCCCCACTTTCGACCAAGCGAAGCAACTCTTTAGCTCTTTTGAGTCTATTTTCTTTCCGATGCGGTATAAGTTCTTGCACTTTTTGGAATTTCAATGGCTTTACCCCGAGCTCAGTTTTCAATATTTTCCAAATGGAATATTGCGATATGTTCAGCTCACGAGCCATTTTTCGGCCATTGCGACGCTGGTATCGATCAAGTAGCTTCTTTATTTTTCGAACCATTTCTGCTGATATTGCTGTTTTTTTTTTTCGTCCACTTCCTTGACGTCGGGCGTACGCTACCAATATCACGGTAACGAGCGATGATACGAGACACAAAAGATTTATTCACCTTTAAATGCTGGAGTGCTCTAACGATAGCCACTTGTGGTTTTCCAGCCAAATATAAAGAAATCACACTATCACGCTTGAATTCCATCACGAATAACTTTTTTTCTCCTGAAAACTCTCACCAAAATGCTTATGTATGCTTGTAAACAATATAATGAGCTGGAATAATTTTAACAGCTGTCTCGAGCGAGTGGCTTATAAATGACAGCAGTCTGAAGTTGGTTGCATTTTTTTTTCATCTGACTCTGTAGAGGCTTCAGAATGACATATTACCCTCCTCACATTTCTTATGCGACATAGAAGTCCTCAAGAAAAAATATTCCACAGATCAATCTTATTTAGGACATTTAAAACAGGAAGTAAGGGCTCTGGATTTAATCTGGAAGCTCTTAAGCGAAACCTATGCGTTCAGTCTGAAAGTCAATGACACCTTCATAGCATACGGAGTTCCTATCATCATTCTCAGTCATGACCGCCATAGAATTCATGGACGATCGCTTGGAACTCACCTTAGTAGCGATAAATATATCTAAATACAATTTCTTCAGGGGACACATAGATTCAGCTATCAGTGTATGAATTCAACCACTAATCACCCCAAGATCCTAGGGAAACTGTGGCTGCTATCTGCGTTTTTAGCTAAGAAAAGTTTATCAAGACTCGTATCGGCTGTACCATGTAAGCAGATGATGAGATAACCTTTTTACTTTAGTATCCCCCTCCTGGTTTCTAACGGTCTTCTACACCAGAAGCCACAAAGGAGACGAAAGGAAAGTTACTTCGTAAGAGTACCGCTTTCCAATGCTGCGGTTAATGAGACTAAGCGAGAATTTTTTCCCCACGAGATTCTTGCATTACTTATTAATCTTCAGACGAAAACTTGTTTTTCATTTCGGTCAAAAAATCAAAGGTTTCTTATCCCGAGTTGTTCTCTACTTCATCAATTCCCTTATACCATAAAAATTCTCCTAACAATCTAATGACAGTTTAAAGACCGTTTTAGCTATTGATGTCCGTCTAAAGGTATAAAACCTCGCATGCCCCTGATAAGACTTTTTAAATTCATATATTATTTTAATAGGAGCCGGTAATTTCGGAATTCCAAAAAAAAAAAAAAAAAAAAAAAAACAAAAATGAAGATCTATTTATCCTTCCTTTGAATATTTTTTGAAAATGTATCAGATTTATATAGAGATTTTTGGGAAAACACATATAATTTCCAAATATTGCTTAGAAGTACCTCAAACCCTACACGGATTTGGTATCATTAGTATCCCAGACATAACCACACTTTTTGCTGGATTAAATGTTGGTCTCTTTTAATGTCTATTTTCATAATATTAAAGCTTTTTTAAAATTCAATTTGTTACCCAGTGTATTTGAAAATAATTGAACAACAATATGTTCTATCTCCCTAATCGTTTTCTCTTTTCATTGCAGCTGACTTTGGCTTTGCTCGTTTCCTTAATGAGGGTGTTATGGCAGCCACCCTGTGTGGATCTCCCATGTATATGGTAAGTTCTTGTCTTTTATTTGCTGTTTTTTTTTGTAAATTTTTGTTTTGTCTTATTTTTATCCTCCACATAGGCTCCCGAGGTGATAATGTCTTTGCAATACGATGCTAAGGCCGATTTGTGGTCTCTGGGTACCATTGTCTATCAATGTCTTACGGGCAAAGCTCCCTTCTATGCACAAACCCCGAATGAATTGAAATTCTATTATGAACAAAATGCTAATTTAGCACCTAAGTAAGTTCGGATGCCGACATGTGTTTCCACTCAATCAATGTAGTACCAAAAAAACATAGCATAAATGTATGCCCTGCCCCCCGGGGCGGTCGGGATATATATTGTTGTTTTACCTAAAAATAATGATTTCAAATGCGAAATTTTTCATTCATTCATTATTTTTGGGGCTATGTTGTTGTTGTTGCTGCTGTTTTGTTTATTTGCTTGTTTTTACGTCTTGTGTTTTTTCCCTTGGTTTTCTTTCGTTTCTTGATCTAGAATACCCAACGGAGTGTCACCCGAATTACGTGATTTGTTATTGTGCCTGTTGCGGCGCAATGCCAAGGACAGAATTTCGTTTGAAAGTTTTTTCAATCATCGTTTCTTGCAGGGCAAAAAAGCGGCCACATCACCAGGTAAGTGTGTCAAGTTCAAATCATAATTGCGAAAAATTATTTTGAATTCTTATTTTTTCCCCTGGGAATTCAAGCGGATATACCAGCTTCATTGGCTATGGGTACTACGCCACCAACCAAAGCGAAAAGTCCATTACAGCAACAGCTTGAACAACAACAGCAGCTGCAACAGCAACATATACAACAGCAGTTACAGCAACAGAAACAGCAGCAGCAACAACACCAGCTACAGCATCAGCGTTCCGATGCCGATGATGATCTTCAGGATGAAAATGCTGGTAAGAATTTTGAAAATCCTAATGGGCTTTATTTGCTATAATTTATTTTCTGTCTTCTCTCAGTTTCTGTGGTAGAAAATCCCGCCATATGTGCCACCATTACCAATGTCGGCATTTTATGCGAAAGTGAAAATAATACCGAAGATTCCTCGGGATCCCATGAGGATTCCGATGATTTCGTATTGGTACCCAAAAATCTTCCAGAAGATCAAAATGTTATAGACTATGAAAAGAAGTAAGTTAAGCAATTCACTATAACAAGAATATGATACTAATTCCCTCCCCTCTCCCCCAGGCATTCCAATAAACAACAGACTGCAGACAAAAATGCAGCCGGTCAAAATCAATCCAGTCCTCCAAGACCTAGTACTTTACCAATTTCAGAACCCAAACCCGTACCGGCTCCGGTGCGTCGTTACTCGTCGAATAACACAAATGTGGCAGCCGGCACCTCACCCATAGATAAGAATCATGTACGTTATAGGGCCGACAGTGATCAAGTGTCATCGCCAAAACTCTCCACAACGGCACCGGTGGCGGCAGCAGCAGCAGCAGCAGCATCGGCAGCCCAACCCATACCCCGTTCTCAGCCCATCAGTGTAAAACAGAGACCAGATCATCGCAAGAGCAGTGTCAGCAGTGATATTAACTCCATTTCACCACCGGCGGTGCAATTTGCCATTGGCACCCCACCACAGGGACGGCATCGTTCCACCTCGGGCGGTTCGCTGTCAGAGACACCACCCCCCTCGGCCCCATGCACCTGGCAGGTCAGTCCAGGTGGTCAAACCCAATCGCCTCTCAGACGCTCCGGACATAGTTCACCCGTGCTTCCGTCCGCTCTAACTAAACTACCCACATTGGGCAGTCCCACCTTGATGGTGGCACCCGGTTCGGTGGGTTCATTGGGTTCCGGTGGCAATGGCTCATCGTCGGAGAACAACAATCAACATCCAATGCTGGGACCACGGGCATTCACCCTACCCGAGCTGGGCGCCACCGGTGGTCTACAAAGTCTCTTGGACACAAATGCCGCTGGCGGTGTTGGTGGCAATTCATCCGATGTCCATCATCATTTGCATGCATTCCATGCTCCCGAACTGTCGGAGGAAACTCTAATGGATCGTGAACACAATGAAACTTTGTCTAAATTGAATTTTGTCTTGGCCCTCACCGATTGTATACAAGAAGTGGCCGACTCACGATGTGCACCGTTGTCGGCCTTAATGGCGGCCGCCTCAAATGATCAGCCACAAATCCCACCGCATGCCCCGGAACACTGTAAGAGGGCGGAACGTTTGGTATTGCTGGTAAGAGCATTGCAGCTATTGTCATCCGGCTTGAATTTGGCCTCTCAGCAATTGAGGAGTGGCAATTTGAAGCCCTCGTCGAATGTTAAGAATGGTAGGTCGAAAAAAACACACATGTTTCAATGAGAAATTGAAAATAATATGTTTTCGTCTTTTTAGCTCTGCTTACCATGAACTCCAAATACCGCAGCATTTTATTTGAATCGAAGAAATTAAATGGCACTGGTCTCCTGCAAAAAGCCAATGCATTTAATATAACCGCTGATAAGATTTTATACGATTATGCTTTAGATATGGTGAGCAAGGATAATTTTATTCTGGGCAGTATTTGTTTTTAATGCTTGCTTTTGTTTTATTTTTTATTTCAGTGTCAAGCAGCGGCCTTGGATGAGCTGCTGAGCAATACCAAAAATTGTTTTGAGCGCTACAATACCGCTCACATTCTGCTACATTCTTTGGTACAGAAATGTAATCATCCACAAGATAAAATGCTTTTAAATAAATGTAAGTGAGACAGAATCTTTTTTCGAAATTGAAAAATTTCCTGGAAATAACAGGAGATTTTGAAAAGACTAGCAATTCCAAAACTTTGAAGAGAACACTTGGAAAAAGCATCTTCAAATGTCGAAGAAGACATATAAATTTTTTATATTTTGATTGAATTTAGTAACTTCTGCGTTTGGGAATATTTGGAATCAGTGGAAGTACAGGGTGAGATAAAAAACTGCAAAAAAGTCAAGCGCCGTATTTTTTAAATTTTATTAAATGAAAGCATAAAATATCGGAAATAGCACCAAATTTTAGAATAAGTTTAGATTTGTTCGACTTGGTCATCTTTGGCACGAATTATGGCCTTCAAACTGCCAACGAAACCACGTCACACGCTGCCCGAATGTTGCTCTGCCGTATTTTTGCCCTTTTCCGGCGAAGCGCTTGCTTGAGGTGATCGACACTTTGGTATTTTTTAGTCCCAACCTGGCTTTTCAAAATACTTCAGACACAATAGTCAAACACCCTATATCTATCAATACACCCTTCGGAATATTTTCGCGATAATATTCGGCATTTTGTCTGATGCCACGATCGATTAAAACGAGTGGAGAGCGACCATCGGCTGTTATGGCGGCCCATACCATCCCCATGGCCGGCATTGAGTTCTGGTGGCCAACCGAAGGTGCACATTTTCAGCTCACCTTTTTGCAAGTAAACACGATAATTTTGTTTGTTTACAAACTGCTGGACAACGAATGTTTTCTCATCGGAGACCAAACCAAATTCAGCAGTTCTCCATTTTCGGCCAAGCGAAGCAACTCCTTAGCTCTTTTGATTCTATTTTCTTTCTGTTGCGGTGTAAGTTCTTGCACTTTTTGGAATTTCAATGGCTTTACACCGAGCACATTTTTTGATATTTGCCGAATGGAAACCAAATTTGGGCGTCCACCACTTTCGGCCAAGCGAAGCAACTCTTCTTTAGCTCTTTTGAGTCTGAGTCTATTTTCTTTCTGTTACGGTGTAAGTTCTTGCACTTTTTGTAATTTCAATGACTTTACCCCGAGCTTATGTACTCCGAGCTCATTTTTCAATCGAATGGAAACCAAATTCGTCAGTTCACAACTTTCGGCCAAGCGAAGCAACTCTTTAGCTCTCTTTGAGTCTATTTTCTTTTTGTTGCGGTGTAAGTTGCACTTTTTGGAATTTCAATGGCTTTACCCCGAGCTCATTTTTCAATATTTGGCGAATGGAATATTGCGATACGGTCAGCTCACGAGCCATTATTTGGCCACTGCGACGCGGGTTTCGATCAAGTCGCTTGATTACTTTTCGAACCATTTCTGCTAATGTTGCTGTTTTCTTCCGTCCACTTCCTTGACGTCGTGCGTACGCTACCAGTATCACGGTAACGAGCGATGGCCAGCGACAAAAACGATTTATTCACATACAAATGCTGGAGTGCTCTGACGATAGCCACTTGTGGTTTTCCAGCCAAATATAAAGAAATCACACCCGAATCACGCTTGAATTCCATCACGAATATTTTTTTTTTCTGGAAAATTCTCACCAAAATGCTTTTGTACGCTTTTAAACAATATAATGAGCTGTCACTGGAATAATTTTGAACAGCTGTCGGACGAGTGGCTTAGTAATTACAGCAGTCTGAAGTTGGTTGAAACTTTCGGGGTCTGATGAATTATTTTTTGTAAAAAATCCCCTCAGGGTCTAAGGAATTCTTTTCCATAGAAAAAAATCTCCCCCAGGGACCTGAGGATTTTTTGATTATATAAACTTCTCTGCTGATTTACTCCGCCATCGGACGAGTGGCTTAGAAATTACAGCAGTCTGAAGTTGGTTGCAGTTTTTTTCATCTCACCCTGTAGAGGAGATTTTTTAAAGGAAACCAAATTCAAAATATTAAAGAAAACACTTGGAAAAAGTATTTTTCAGTGTCGTCCTTTTCGACACTGAAAGATAATTTTCTTGAATATTTATATTTTGGTTGTAATTAGCAACTTCTGCTTTTGTGCATATTTGGAATCATTCGATGTATATTCCATTTTGTACCACTTTTTAAGATTCCTCCTTACTTCCTGCTTGATCTTCTTCTAATTGTCTTTTTTTTAACATCTCTAATTTGTTACAGATCGCGATGCTGTGGAAAAACGCTTAAATATTCTACAACAACAAGGCTACATTTATGTGACCGATGAAAATTCGTAAATGATTCAACCCCGTAAAACGTAAAACGGAGACACAAATTTAATCCAAATGCATCAAAATTTGATTATGTTTAAGAGAAACAGTAACAACAAGCAAAATCCACAATAAAAACAAGGAACAAAACAAATAAACAATACAAGAAACAGAAATTTGAAAACGGAATGATGTAGTGGCAGAAGGAAAGAAAGGATAATTTCTGTAATGTGTGATTCATTATCAAACTGCATAGACACCATTAACTCTAACCATTTATTCACAACTAGTAGAACATTTTAATTTTTTTTATATATAAAAATACTATACAATTATCATTACTCGTAAACTATCTATTATAATTATAAAATAATTATGTTTGGCAAAATTTGTTTCTATCGAAATTAGAGGCAAGAGATGAGAAAACAATGGAACAGTATGTAAATATCATTAGATTTCAATACCTAGATTTCTTGAAAAAAAAAAGAAATTCTCAAGTATTTTTTCCTTAAAACATTACATAATTGCCAAGGCAAAGGTTTGAAAGCTGGCAGAGGTAAACTGCAAAAAGTCTTCTTAGAAATTGGTAATTGTCCCCCTCCTGGTTTTCTATTACAATTTTCCCTGGATATGTATTTATTTAATAAGTATAAGAAAAAAAAAAGAGATTTAGAAACTAGCAAGTCTTTCATTATTTAATTTAGAAAAAAAAACAAACGATGACTTTAAAGTTTGAAAACGGAAAAAAGTTTAAAAGATAAACATGCACAGCCCCCTAGGAAACCGTTCTAAAAAACTTCCCCCCAAAAAAACTGAATAAAATTAAACATCATTTGAGATCTTGGCATTATGAAAAAAAGAAATAACCCAAACATATGTCTCGATATCAAGCAAAGATTTCATTTTTAAAACTATTTTCTATTTTATTGTTTTATATGTCCTTTTCTTTTTAAGTTTTTTTTTATGTTTCCATTACACACATTTTCTCACACTTTTTTCTTCCTATTAACTCTTTGATATATATTTTTTGTTTATGTTATTTAAGTGAAATATTTCTCAAATTTTTAATTTATGTTGCAATATTTAAACATAGTTTATTGTATTTTCATTTTTAATTGTTTTAAATGTGTTTTTTTTATGAAGAAATAAAAAGAAAAGATGAAAAGAATTTCATACTATATAAAAAATGCTAGTGCATAATATTATTACATATACATACAAACATACATATGTAGAGAGAAGGAAAGTAACAACCAACCAACCAACTGATTAAAACACATAAAAATTGAAATATAAAAAGAAACAACAAAATAAATAAATAAATCATGAATATTATTATAAAAATCATGTTTTCAATATTTATTTGAGAGAAAAAGACATTTTAAAGTTATTTCATCCTGAATCCATTTAGAATCTATATACGTTATGGGCCCTCGGTCGAATATTTGGAGGGTTTGAAATCGAAATTAAAAAAATAAAAGTGACTACCTAGCAGTGATTCTTGTTTTGATAAAAACCCTTCCAGAGGTTTTTTTTTACAGGTGGCCTTTTGAGATATCGATTTAATAACAGGGTCTATTTGGTGAAGGTAAATTTACCGCACTTTTATCTAGAGTTTTGAAATTTATGACAAATTTTCGTATTATGTTTCTAAGAGGTCCTATATTTGGGATTTTCAAAGAAGAGAAATCCTCTCCCCAGAAAGTTGCTAAATACAGATTCACCAATTGGTACAGCCTTCTAAGGAGGTTTCGAACTTTTCAAGTTATTTTGATAGGCAATTCGAAGAAGGTTAATATTTACAAAATTTTAATGAATGAGTTATTTTTATGAGTTATGTTTAACCCTTTAAGGGGGAGGTTCCGAAGCAATTGGGCAATATTAACCAATTCGTATCTGACCTAAGATTTATAAAAATATTACAACGTTCCAGATTTGGACTATATCGACTACTTCCTATACTTTATATGGGATACGTGCACATTTTTGAAAAATGTAGACATATGAGTGAGGTGACAGATATAGCGGACCGAAGTATTTCATTTTCAAACTTTATATAATACAGATAAAAATATTGGTATGTGCAAAATTTGAAGGAAATCGAACATTCATATCCATCTTTATGCGAAATCATAAATTCCGAATAATTACCCTTTGGGGTTGAGGTAACAGAACGGGTTACCAGATATCTATCATCTTAACAACAGATTTTGCGCTATGAAAAATATTTGGATATGTGAATTTTAAAGAAATTTGGATGATTATTTCGCTTTGTTTAAGCGTTTTATGTGGGGGAGGCACCAGAAGAAATGGTGCGATCTCTACCATCTTTATAACAGATCTTATGTTGATGGAGACATTGAGATGAATCAAGTATGAATGGAATCGGACGTTATTTTCGTGTTTTATGAGCTTCATGGATACTCAAAATTTTGAATGGAATCGGATGTTAATTTCGTGTTTTATGGGCTTCAAAAATGTTTAAAAATTTAAACCTTTGTGGGAGAGGTACCAGAAGGTACCTGACATTTTGCTGGGAAGGCACTAGAAGGAGTGGACCGAAATAACCATTAATGGAACAGAATTTTGGCAAACACAAGGTCTATCGCCAAACTTTTAACAATCTGAACTTCTTCCAGAGTGAAGTCCCGAAAATCGTGTGAACGTAAAATCTAAGAAAGTAGTTTTTACAGTGGCTACGCTTTTTAAAATAAACCAATACTGTTTCCTTTCGACCAATCTTGAAGGATTAAATTGGCCAGTCCCCTGTGGATTAATCCTTGTTTTATGGAAGTTTAAATCAAGAAATATGTTGTTATTTACGAATTTTTTCCTACATAAAGAAAAATAAATGTTTTCATGTCATACTTTGCCAAATTTAGCGTCTTGGATATATAATTTCCCTAATTTAATTCCAGATGGCTTTTACAAAATTACATTCCAATTGGCTCTGGAATCAGTTCCAAAACTCCATAGGTTCCATTTCCAATCACACAAGTCCTTTTTCACAATGAAAAATCATGAAATTCCTTTATCTTCAAGAATTTACTTCATTACCCACCTGTATAGTCGCGTAAATGAAACAGCCTAGAAGTATGCTTTGATTTTTCCATTTAACTTTCTTTGCAAATAAAGGAAATGTTATGCAGTTTTTTTTATTAAAAAATCGTATTTTTTATTGCTTAAAAACAAATTAACACTAAAATTACACTTAAACTAATTTGTACAGTCTTAAAATATTTAAATTATTGCTATAGAATTATGATATGTTTACATTTGACAATTTTATTATACAAACAATAGGTGGGGTTGTTAATGCAATGTGGGTGTTTGTTAAGCATCACATGACCGAGCACAGATCGTGTTTTCTACTGCTGAAAATCAAATAGAAATAACAATTCACAAAAGTAGAGCTTTAAAATACATGGCAATGATTCAAAATAAATATTATGTTTACATTGAACTGGATTTGAAACATCAAGGGGCTTTATATTATTTATTCCATTGCATAACCTCAAAAAAAATTTTATAAAGGAGGTATTTACCTTATTTACACCGAACGTGTTTTGATAAAATACCTTACTTGGATTGTCAATTCCATTGGTTATATGTCAAATAAATTACAAATCTTTGTAAAAGGCGTAATTTAGTAGTCGGTATAAATCAGGCTTAAAGTCTTGTCTACACTGAGCACATCTTAATAAAATCCATTATTTGGATAGCAAATTCATCTGATTATGTTAAAAAATTACGTATCTCTGGTCGCTGTAAATATTCTTTAACCCGATAAAAAGCTCAAATATAAATATCCTATTAGAGACGATATCAAGCCATGGTAGAAGAATATAGGTAGACGCATCGGGACAGCTGCTGGGAAAATGAACTGTCAAACTGATTTTGGAATTGAAAATATTGAATGAAAAATTATTGGAATTTGAAAAAATTGTTGGAAAATTCATATTATAAGAACCTCCTATTGGCGTCGTGTAAAAAAACATTTAAAAATCTACTTATTTTTGATAAAACATTTAAAAATTCAATGTTCTCATGCGTTGATGCATCTACCTATATTCTTCTACCATGATATAAAGCCCACAATGTCCTTGCCCACTTTGGTAGTTTACACATCACAGTTTTTCAAATTCACAAATCAGGTTTACACATTTCGCTTATTTTGTCAGTGTAAATTTCTTTAGCATAAAATGTACGGAAATTATTAAAATATTTCCAGATAACACATCTCTATTAGAACATTTACATATGTAAATCCTGTGGATTTCAATATTCAATTCCATTGAGGTTATGTCAAATTAAATCCAATGGATTTCACATGTAACGCATACTCAAAGATATTGAAAGTTAAAATATACCGGATCTATTATGTCTAAACATACGTTTAGATCGACCCGAAGATCCCCGCTTTCATTGCTGATACATGTGAGGAGCGTGAAAATGGTGTGGCCACGATTGTGGTGAATGGATTTGATGGGGAGGAGGAAATGCATCTAAGAGAGTATTGTTGTGCGGAAACGATATGGGATTTTGAATTGGAATATCATTCTCTGAGGGTGGAGTCATGGGTATTGCCATCATCGAATTGGGTCCACAATAAGCCATATTATATTGTATGGGTGCTGGTGCTGGTGCTGGTGGGGGAGGGAAAAATGTTGACGTTGGCTGTTCTGTTGATTGCGGTGGTGTCAGGAGAGGTGAGTGCGAGGTAATAAAGGGTGGAGGTGGAAGTGGACCTGGTGGCAGGTGGTGATTGAATATTGGAGGTGGTGGTAGTTCAAATGCAGGTGAATAATTTCGATTATATGATGTTGATGGCGGCCGGCAATTAATCACATGGGCTGGCAGTTGGTCTCTCAGTTGTATTTGTTGCTGAATTTGATTACAGTTTGGAGGTGGTGGAGCTTTCATGTCATAGCCACAGGGATATGGCGGAAAACTATGACCTGGAAGCTGAGCACATAATTGGGGGTCGGGTGGTGGAGGTATCTCAAAATGTTGAGGATATGGAGGAAAGGGCAACTCAGAGTGCATTTGCTCAGCGGGAAATGTAGGTATTGACGAATTGTAGGTTATGTGATGTGGGGTAGGTGTTGGATGGTTTGGATTGTAGGGACCACATTGAATTGGATACGTCGGATTTCCATGGGGAATATGTTGATTTGGTGTTGATGCTAAGGGATATGATGTGAAGGCCTCCCTTGGTAAAGGGTGAAGGAAATCAGGTGGACCCACAGAGGTGTTAGATGCTGGGGATCTTCTTAGGTGTTGGTGATATACTCCTGGCTGGTTGCTAAGAGGTAAATGGGAAGTAGGCGGAATGTGTTCTGAGTGTGTTTTTCGGGACGGATGTTGGAAATGCGGTGAATGAAGGTTAGGCACTGCTGAATGGGAGATCTGGGGCTGAGATTTCGAAGGTGGGCGGTGTTGTGATTGGTGTAGCCCCACAGGTATCACATGATGGGTTGGTGAGACAGTCATTGGCTGATTATGACTTTGATCGTTTTGTATCGCAGACCCAATTGCAGTCGGTATACTCTGTTGTTTGTTTTGTTGCTGTTGTTGTGGATGACCTACAGACGGCGGTACAGAATATGATGAGTTAGACCCCTTTAGCCGTTCTGAATTTAGATCGTTTCGGATCGATGAAGCGCCAGGAGAATGGAGTGCATAATTTTGTTGTTGTGGCCGTCCTCCTGGCGTTTCTGAATGGGCAAATGTCCGATCGTAACATGGGTAGTTAGTTGGCACATATTCTAGCTGTTTTTGGTTAGAATTAGCTATTCTCTGTTCTCTGTTTTGACAGGGGTCATTTGTGGTGATGGCGGGCAGATTGCATGGGTGGTTGGTGGAAAAATTGTGCATCGAAGGTTCTTTGAGACGAGGAGGAGTTGAAGAATGTTGTATTCTCGTATTACTAGTTGGGTTTTTATCCCTTGAAGTCGGTGTTGTTCTGAGAGGATTAGCCGTATTTTGATGGTCCCCCACATTCTGCATTTTTTTCTTTTTAGACATAGACTTCATTTTCTTGGCTGGAATATTCGAAATTGCAGATTTTTTTGCTTCCTGTATGGATAACAGGGCTTCCAACGAGCTTGCCCTCTTCTTGGCTTTATTGACTTGCTTGGGCGCCATTAAATTATCAGGGAGATTTCGAGTGTTAGCAGTTTTTGTCGTTTCCATAGAATTGCTAATAGCCTGGGTGTTAGTTGGCATGGGTTCTAAGCCTGATTGTGTTTTAGGATTATATCCCTGCTTGGGCGCCAATAAATTATCCGGAAGATTTTGTGTGTTTCCAGTTGTTGTCGTTTCCATACAATTGCTAAGAGCCTGAGTGGAAGTAGACGTGGCTTCAAAGCCTGATTGTGTTTTGGGAGTATATCCCTGCTTGGGCGCCATTAAATTATCCGGGAGATTTTGAACTTTTTTAGTGGTAGCCGTTTCCTTACAACTGCTGTAAACCTGGTTGTGAGTGTCTGTGGGTTCCAAGTTTGAAACTTGAAACTGAGGAGTTGATATTTGGGTGTCCTGGAAATTTGGAAACTCTTTGCTAATAGTGTCAACATCAAGTCTGGTTTTCCGATGCGGCTTTGAATTAAACTCTACCCTCGCTTCCTTTGGCATATTTTTCACGGGCATACTGTTTTCAAATCCAGGAGCATAGTTCATCTGTGAATCAGAAGATGGTGTAGAATTTGGATGACTTGTTAGATCCTTGGATATTTCTTTGGTAACGGTCGTGTTATCCAATCTCTGGGCAGGGTGTGCAGGTGTACTCGAAAAAGATGCCCCTTCACTCGGCACTCCTTGCATGGTGAGACTGTCATCCAATTTATGGGCAGGATTTTTAAGGAAATCGCTTTTCGAATTTGCAGGGCTCTCTGCTTCCCTAGGCATCTTTTCGAAGGCTGTACTAAAATCTGGTGTGTGAGTTGGTGTCGGATGCATTTGGGATGTGAGTAAAGCATCGCTTGTTTTGGTTTCCTTCATTTGATTGTGAAATTTGGAGACCATATGCTTTTTGGGATTCAAAACCTTTTCTAGATTTTGACAACTTCTGGATGATTCACATTTGGGTTTTGTTGTGGTGTTCAGGGCTATTACACCTGAGTTTCGGAGCATATCTCCCTGAGATGGTTGGGGGCCTTGTTGGCCAGGAATTTCACATATCTTTGCCTCTTGACCCGTTTCGATGTTAGATATTTCATTCGGATGAGAGGGATTTAAATCTGGCGCCCAACTGAGTTGATGACTCGTAACCAATTTATTTTCAGTTCCCTGATCTTGTAGAAGAGCATCATTATTTTCCTTGGACAGCAGGACAGATGAGAGTAACGCCTCATGTGCTGAGCCTCCTTGGCATAAATTAAGAACATGCCTTAAATACGGAGAATCACGTATTTCATGGACCACAGATTCTCGAGGAGAATATAGTTCGTGTTTTGAAGAAATTTTAGAATTACGTTCTTCATTAGCCTCACTTTGGCTTTGAGATTCTGGCACAGTTTCCTGATTGGTGGAATCTTCGCTTCCTCCAAGTGAATCATGTTTTGAAGAAATTCGATTATTAACATCATTGGCGTTTTGAGATTCCGTCACATCTTGCGGGCTGGTAAAATCTCCACTTCTCTGTTCGCCGGAAAGATTTAAGGTGTGACATGTGTCCGACTGACATTTACCGGTATGATTTATTACACTACATCTATGAACAGTGAGAATAGATGCTGGATTGTCAGATGACGGGTCGCATGAGGTACCGACATGTTCCTCCGGGTTGCTGTTTGATGATACCTCAATTTGCTTTTCTTCCATGGGTTTACTTGTTTGATGAGCCTCTTGTGTCTTATCTGGTGTTGAAAATCTGTGTTGGTCTTTCACCTCATCCTCCTTTGAAATCTCCAGACATTGATGTCGTTGGTCCAGTGTTTTAGGGATTTCTAAGGTTTCCATTGGATTAAGCCGATGAGGGAGGATGTATTTTTCAGAAATTTTCCTAGAAGAGAGAAAAAAGTGAAAATCTTATTAGAATTTAATAAATTTGATTTAAATTCATTTATTCAGATGTAGATGGCGTTAGAGAATCTAAACTGGCAAATAGATGGCGCCTGAGAATCTAATCCCTTGGATACAAGGATTTAAAGGTGGTACTTCAGAAAATAGATGACATTAGTGGTCATATATTTCGAGGCTCGTCTATTAAGAGAGAGAGGATGACAGAGTTGATCTTTCTACAATAGATGTCCTAGTCACATTTACCCACGAAATTGTTTCAAATTTTTGTATTTAAGAAGATTTGGTAGATGACAATCCTTGAAGTTATTGATGCCATGTGAGGTCATCAATTTCAAAAAAGAAGCTATCTGAGGTAATCGACTTTTAAATATATGCCATCTATTTTATAATAAAGGTCACCTGAGGTCATCTACTTTGAAATAGATGCCGCTGGAGGTAATCAATTTTGGTGGAGTTGTCATCTACTTTGAAATAGATGCAACCTTATTCTCTTTAAAATAAATGCCACATGGTGACAACTACCTGGTGACATCTATCTTTGAAAATATGTCTTCGGAGTTTATCTATTTTGAATTAGATGTCATCTGAGGTCTCCTGTTTGCGAATAGATGTTATCTAAGGCCATCTACTTTAAAATAGCTGCCTCCTGATGACGTCTGAGGTCATCTATTATCGAATAGTTGTTTTTGGAGTTCATCTACTATAAAATATATGCCACCCAATGACATCTATTTAGAATATATCTCATCTGAGGCCATTTACATTGAAGTAACTGCTTCTTGACGCCATCTACCTTTGAATTGACGTCATCTGTGATCATCTCTTTTCGAATAGATATCTTCTTAGTTTACTTTTTTTAAGTAGATGTCACCTTAACTCTAATCTGTGTCACCTGGAGATTATCTATTTTGAAATAGATGTCATCTGAGGTCAACTATTTGCGAGTAGATGTTATCTATGGTCATCTACTTTAAAATAACCAGCCCCAGATGAAGTCTGAGGGCATCTTTTTCGAATAGATGACTTCCGAGCCACCCAATGACATATATTTAGAATAGATCTCATCTGAGGCTATCTACTTTGAAATAGGTGACTTCTTAGACCGTCTACTTTCGAACTGATGTCATCTCATTTCGAGTAGATATCTTCTGAGTTAACCTATTTTAAAGTAGATGTCACCGGGTGGCACCTGATCTCTAATCAGAGGCCATCTACTTTAAAATCGATGACCCTGAGGTATTCTATAGATGTTTTCTGAGTTCATCTACTTAAAAGTAGTTGCCACCTGGTGACATCTAATCAAAAATAGAGATGCCACCTGATGACATTTGTTTTAAATTAGATGTCATCTGAGGCCATCGATATTCGAAAATATGTCTTGGAGTCTATCTACTTTAAAAAAGTCATCAGAGAGAACCTGTTTCTAAGTAGATGTCACCAGGTGACAACTTTTTTTAAATAGATGAACTCAGCAGACTTATATTCTAAAATTGAATATCTCAGGGGCAGTTTTTTTTTTAAAGTAGATAGCCTCAGATGAGAGGCCAGGTGCCACCCGGTGACATCTACTTAAAAGTAGATGTCATATGAGGTCATCTCTTTTTGACTAGATGTCATCTGAGTACAGCTATCGTAAAATAGATGACATCTTTATAATACTGTATAATAGATGCCTCCAAATGACATCTTCTTTAAAATAGATTCCACCTAAGGTCATCCATTTTAGAATAGATGGAATCTGAATCCATCTACTTTCGAAATATTGGCATCTCATAATTGAAATCTATTTGAAGCTAGATGACACCTAATGACATATATTTTACAATAGATGCCACCTTATGTCAGCAATTCTACAAAAGAAGCCAAATATTGTCTTCCATTTTCAAAACATTTAACTTTCAAGGATTTGATACCACCCGGCATCACATATTCCACCCATAATTTATTTTCTGCAGATATTTTCTTCCAGAAATCTCACCTTTGTTCATACTCCAAAACGTCCAAATCCTCATAGGTTTTATGCAGAGCAATTGCAAAATCATAAATCGAATTCTCAATAGACTGCATATCACTCAGAATTGCCTTATCCAGTTCTGAGGCAGGATAAACAGCAATGGATTTGGTCAGAAGTTCTTGAAATTCACCTGCCTCCGATAAGGACTTTATGAAACTATAAACCTCATTAACGGCCTGTGGGGCAAAGCTTTTGTCGGGGGAACTGTGTTGCACGGTAATCACATGTTGATCTAGAACAATGACATCCTCCAGGGAATCATTTAAATCAATTATTTCGTTCGTTTGAGATTGCTTGGAGTTCAGAGTTTCCTGTAACTCTTCTGTTGAACTGTTTAAATCAATTATATCTCTAAAATCATCTGCCTGATTTGATTTGCCTATATCCTCTGTGGCTTCCGTAAGTATTCCAATTTCTACATCACTGTCTTCATCGTGATCATCTGCTGAGCTAATTGCCAAACCCATATTCTTTAAGGTATTCTCAATGGCGGAATATTTTTCCAGTTCTCTCTTGGCTGTGTTATTATTCCTCCGAATCTCCAGTTCCTCTTCCCTCGAATTCAACTCCTTTATTAGTTTATTTCCTCCATAGATTCTCTCAAATCGTCGACGAATTGCTTTTAATTTATTGCCACCTTTAAATTGAATTTGTCTTCTTGGGCGCCGAAATCCGTCTTTTCTTGTGGACTTTTGTTGTTGTGGGAAATTGCGCTCAGAGTTTATTTTGGAGTTTCCTACAATGCTAGAATAACTATTTAATGGCTGCATCACATTGGGCGGACTCTTTTTTGAAATCCATGGATACTTTTTTTGGCTATTGATAGGTATTTTCTGAAAAAAAAAAATGATGGTAAATGGCAAGTATTAAATGACTGAGATCCTTACTTACCGGTATAAAAATGCTGGACTTAATGTTGCAACGTATTTTACGAGCAGATTCCCTGGAAGAAGAAAAAATGAAGGTAAAAGCCCATGTCAGTTTAGGTGTAGAATGAACTGTCAAACTAATTTTAGAATTGAAAATGTTGAATGAAAAATTATTTAAATTTGTAAAAATTGTTGAAAAACACGAATTATAATAACCTCCGAATGACATCGTATAAGAAAACTAGTAAAAATCTAATTATATTTGAAAAAAACATTTAAAATTTTTTGACATATCAATGTTCCCAAGCGTTAATGCATTTACCTGTATTCTTCTACCATGTGTAGTTGAAGGTTTATAGCATGTTTACATTGGAGCTTTTCACCTGCTTATCATCTTTATGAATGTTTTTGAGGATTGGAAGTGACAAATTTAAAACCATTAGCTTTTCTAAATCTTTTACATAACAAAGACATAAAATAATCAGGTTCGAATATCGAATATACTCTGTTATACCTATTATTTTAATATAAACATATACAGTTCTGCATTTTTCTGCAATATACCTCGTAAAATTTCGCTGTAACTGGTTACCATATCTGATTTGTGTAAATATAAATTTATGTTGATTGGTCAACTATTCCGTTAAAACGGTTCACTGTAAACATGCTATTAGGCCTACTAACTTTTCCGTAAGGGATATATAGGTCGTATTTCGATAAGCCTTTTAAGTTGAAGTGGAATTTTGTCTCGACATTTCGCAATTAATTTCTGACCACGAGATCACAGATTTTAGGCCGACTTATTTTTATACAAACGGAAAATATACATCGACTAATAAATTTTTAGTTTTTTATACCCTCAGCCATATGACTAGAGAGGGTATATATCATTTGTTACCGTAAAAACGTTCCTTCTCGAAATAACGGTTTTAGACCCTAAATTTCTTTTGACCAAATCCGTTTCAGGACATTTGGAGTTAGTCTAGCGAGGTCCGTCCGTCTATCTTTCTGTCTGGCTGGTGTGCACGATAACTCTCGAAGGGAATATCCGATTTGATCGAAACTTGGTACATCGTAATATTATTGTCAAACTTAGATCGAGTTCGGCGATGGGCAATATGGGTCCAATCCTTCTACAACTCCACACAAAAGGTCGAAATTAAAAAAAAATTCTGCACAGAAAGGGAAAAAGTGAGCCAATTTTGCTTCAGCTTTGCAAAGCCTAATATATGTGCTAGGTCAGAGGCGAAAATGAACAATATCGGCCCTCTCCATCAAGTACCTCCCCCACAAAGGGTAAAAATTTAGAACCATTATACCTCTTTAAAAATGTGAAAAAAAACAGTCCGATTGTCTTCAAATTACACATATCACAATATGTTTATTAACTCAAGGTCTGATGTGAAGATAGAATATATCGGCCCACTTCTTCCGATACCTCCCCAGAAAAGGTCAAATTTTTGAATATCCCTGAATCTCATAAATAGCGAATTAATATCCGATTCCATTCAGATTTGCTACATCTCAATATTTCCATCAACACAAGATGTGTTATAAAGATAGTAAAGATCGGACCGTACCTTCTGGTACCTCTCCCACAGAGGGTCAAAGTTTTGAATAACCAACACGATCATAAAATCCGAAATATGCATCCAGTTCTTTTCCAATTACACACATCCCCATATTTTTATTAACCCAATGTCTGGTGTGAGGATGCAGTCCTTTTGGTACCTCCAACACAAAGGGTCAACATTTTGAGTATCTATGAATCTCATAAAATAACGAATTGGTATCCGGAGATTTTGCTGGCCATTGTGCGCTGGAAATGAAGCGAGGAACCTCATTTTGTAAACACACCATCGCCGAGCAACTCTTTAGCTCCCTTTGAGTCCATTTTCTTTCTGTTGCGTTGTAAGTTCTTGCACTTTTTGGAATTTCAATGGCATTACCCCGAGCTCATTTTTCAATATTTGCCGAATGGAATATTGCGATATGTTCAGCTCACGAGCCATTTTTCGGCCATTGCGATCAAGTCGCTTCTTTAATTTTCGAACCATTTCTGCTGATGTTGCTGTTTTCTTCCGTCCACTTCCTTGGCGTCGTGCCTACGCTACCAGTATCGGTAGCAGTAACGAGCGATGGTACGAGACACAAATGAGTTATTCACATTTAAATGCTGGAGTGCTCTAACGATAGCCATTTGTGGTTTTTCAGCCAAATATAAAGAAATCACACCTGAATCACACTTCACACGAATAACTTTTTTTCTGGAAAATTCTCACCAAAATGCTTTTGTACGCTTGCAGACAATATAATGAGCTGTCACTGGAATAATTGTAACAGCTGTCAGACGAGTGACTTAGAATTGAGAGCAGTCTGAAGTTGGTTGCAGTTTCTTCATCTCACCCTGTATTTTTCTTAACTGGAAATCTAATATGAATATGGCAATTATCGAAATTTATTATTTTGCATAAAATTGGATATAAATATTTGATTTCCTTCAAATAGTGCACATACCAATATATCTGTATGAATGAAGTATAGAAATGAAATACTTCGATCCGCCATATCTGCTACCCCATGCATATGTCTACATTTTCCCAAAATTCTCATATAAAGTATAGGAGGTCCAACTCTATAGTCGATAGTCCAAATCCGGCACGTTATAATATTTATATCCGTTTTTGGTTAGATACGAATTGGTCAATATTGGCCACCTGCTTTGGAACATCTCCCAATAAAGGGTCAACTGTTTGAAAAAATCATACAAAACTCAGGGCTGAGACTATACATCTGTCGGCAACACCGACTGATACCATTTTACGTGTTTTGCCTATTTTTTAATACTGCCCACCAAAAAGTCAAACAATTGATCCTATCATCTGCCTGGAGAAACTTAAAATGGAAATCGATTTTGGTTTGGAAAGCCAAAAATCGATAATTGGTTCTAGGTAAAGTTTTACAATTTATTATTTCACTGAGTGCTGATCTTTTGTTCATTTTACAACAGTTTCGATCTACAACAACCATTATTTTTTTCAAAATTTAATTTTTTATACAACTTGACTTATTCACTTTACAAAACACAACGGCACAATTTAGTTTACCCGCGATAAATATGATATTCAGCCAGAGTTTGTTTATGGTATGAGTCAGTTCTTTAATGATTTTTTTCTTATTAGCACCGAAATCCAAACATTTGTGTTTTATTTGTAAATAATAAAATTTAAATGTATTTAAAGATACCTTAAAGGTTCCAGGTTCCTTTACTTACAGGGCCAATGTGTGTCTTGCCTCCAAACTTAAATGTTTCTTGTGCGGCGATGTGTTGTCACTGCTGCTGCTGCTGGACGCTTCCAAGTGTGTTTTTCGAAAATCCATATTTTAGTTTTTAGAATAATTATTATCATTAAAACAAAAAACAAAACGAAAAAATACAACAACAAAACACAGAAATAAATAAATTTGTTGTTACTTGTTTTGGTTTTCTTGGACTCTTAATTTTGTTTTCCAAAAACAATGAATGAAAGAACATTGGCCGTTCTTGCTCTTACGAAGTCTCAATTAGATCTGTGACGAAATTCAATGAGACATGAAAATTCTCATTTGAGCAGGCTCTTTGTGAAATACATAACAAAAACATAATCATACACACACACACACACAGTTATGGCGCAAAAATGCATCCATGATGCACTCGAGAGTAGTAGTAGTGGAAGGCTTGCCAATGAGTTGTTATGTATTGATGTCTGTATGGGTGGGTGGTCGTGTGTGTGTAAAATTATGCTGAGTACAAGCGGATTTTGGCTCCATACGGATCTGACCAAACATTGTGGTCATCGTAATGTAAACAAAGGCGACAATTTTTACGACTTCAAACAGAAACAATTCTACGACGAATTCAATACCATATTTTTTACAACAATCAGGACTGTCGGCAGGCCGCACTGCGTAACCGAAACCACTTGAAACGCAAAAAGTGTGTCTCATATTTCACATGTGTGCCTGATATGTCATGCCCAAGTTAGTCTCAAAAAAGTAATAATATTTTTTTTTATTACTTGCAGGTTCTTTTTTTAAATGTAAGATCTGGTTATTAATTTTTTAGAATTTTTTGAAAAATATTCCTTTTGTCTACTGGACATTTGCTGAGCCAGTATCAAAGACATAACTATTGGTTGAGGATATTAAATCCTCCTAAACTTTGTGGAGAATGAATATATTCTGGAATTTTGAAAAAAAATTTGCTGAAATTCTTAAAAAGTAACTTTTTCAAATATTCTTTTTTTAAAAGCCATATCATTTGACATTCAAAAACATATTTTTTTTCAAAAAATATTTTCAGGAAATTTTATTTTCGTAAAGATTTTTAAGGAGAGGTTACATAGGCAACTTAAAGTCATGGCATGGCATATTTAGTGACATATCATAAAGGAATGTCAGAGCCGCACTCGAATCCTGCCGCCGTTTCCCCTTATAATTTGACATTAATATGTCTAGCCATGATGCCAAGCTGCTTATGTACCCTCACCTTTAGAGATTATTTTTGGGAGGGTTTTTAATAGAATATTTTTGGAAGAGGTATGGTATGCTCTGTTCCAGAACATGCAAGAATCTACTAGTTTTCAAATATTTTTTTTACCCTCTCACCATTCTATGGAGGGCATATTAATTTTGTCATTCTGTTTGTAACTCCATTTGTAACTATTCATGTCAGACCTAACAAAGAATATATTCATGATCGGTGTAAAATTCGAAGTCTATTTAACGTTGACCGTCTGTCCATTTGTGTTTCTGTCTGCCTGTTGTAATCACGCTTTCAAACAAATTAAGATAGAGGGCAAAAATTTTACACACTTGTATATTTTGCCAGTAGGCAGGTTAAGTTCGTAAATAGGCCTTGTCGGCCAACGTTTTCATATAGCCTCCACATAACGATATCACCCAATATTCGGCATTTTTATGATTTTAGCGATTTTATTTACCGGAATTGTTTGAAATTTCGTATTTAAAGTTCGTAATAGGTGCTGTAGCCTATAAGAAAAAATTGCCTATGCCCGTCCACGTCTTCGTATAGTCCCATATAACGCTATCTCCCTATATTCGGTATTTTGATGATTTTAGCGGCATTACAGGGTGAGATGAAAAAATGCAACCAACTTCAGACTGCTGTCATTTGCAAGCCACTCGTCCGACAGCTGTTAAAATTATTCCAGCCACAGCTCATTATATTGTTTACAAGCGCACAAAAGCATTTTGTTTGGAATTTTCCAGAAAAACAGTTATTCGTGATAAAATTCAAGCGTGATAATGTGATTTCTTTATATTTGGCTGGAAAACCACAAGTGGCTCTGGTTAGAGTACTCCAGCATTTAAATGTGAATAAATCTTTTGTGTCTCGTACCATCGCTCGTTACCGTGATATTGGTAGCGTACGCACGACGTCGAGGAAGTGGACGGAAGAAAACAGCAACATCAGCAGAAATGGTTCGAAAACTAAAGAAGCGACTTGATCGAAACCCGTGTCGGAGTGGCCGAAAATGGCTCGTGAGCTGAACATATAGTTGAATTGAATACCATTCGGCAAATATTGAAAAATGAGCTCGGGGTAAAGCCATTGAAATTCCAAAAAGTGCTAGAACTTACACCGCAACAGAAACAAAATAGACTCAAAAGAGCTAAAGAGTTGCTTCGCTTGGCCGAAAGTGGTGAATGGTGAACTGCCGAATTTGGTTTTCTCCGATGAGAAAACATTCGTTGTCATGCAGTTTGTAAACAAAAAAAATGATCCGCTCGTGTTTACCTGCCAAGGAGGTCAGCTGAAAATGTGCACCTTCGGTTGGCCACCAGAACTCAAGCGCCGGCCATGGGGATGGGGTGTAGGCCCCATAACAGCCAATGGTCGCTCTCCGAATAAATCAGAATAAATGCCAAATATTATCGCGAAAATATTCTGGAGGGTGTATTAAAGCCTTGGACACGTATACATTTTGGCCGCAGACCTTGGACATGGCAACAGGACTCAGCACCATCGCACTCAGCAAGCGCCACCCAAGAATGGTTACAAAATCAGGTTCCTCACTTCAGTTCCAGCGCACAATGGCCACCAAAATCTCCAGATACCAATCCGTTGGACTATTGTGTCTGGAGTAATTGGGAAAGCAAGGTTGGAACTAAAAAATACCAAAGTGTCGATCACCACAAACAAGCAATTCCCCGGGAATGGGCCAAAATACCGCAGAACAACATTCGGGCAACGAGTGACGGTTTCATTGGCCGTTTGAATGTCATAATTCGTGCCTAAGGTGACCAATTCGAATAATTTCTAAACTTATTCTAAAATTTGATGCTATTTCCGACATTTTTTGCTTTCATTCAATAGAATTCACCCTGTATATATTTTATGGGGTCTATGACGAATATTTTCAAGGTGGAGGGTATAAAAGAAATTTTCGTTTGTAGAAAAAAAATCGAAGTACAAAAATATTTCCATGCATGGGCAGCAGAACGTTCGCCTAGAAGTTTTACTACGAATTTTACGAACTCAATCAGTCGAAATTAAAGTATTTCAAAGGATTTAAGGTTAAACATATTCCCTGAGCTCTCATGAAATAATTTTGAGTTCCAAACGGTTTTTATACTTTTTATCATCATCTAGAGCCTGTTTATTCATGTCGATTCGAAAGTGAATGGGGAAGAAGAACTCCTCGACCTCTTCGCTTTTAAATTTTTGATCTGTTTGAGAGCAAAAAATCAAAAAAATACTAACCAAAGTTGAGGCGGTTTTCTTTCGTTTATATTTTTAAAACGCCGAAAGTTCGGCCAGGAGAGCCTTTTCCGGCTTATGTACAAATATAAGGAACACAAATTAAAACGAAAAAAAAAACGATAATCACACACTTGTACCATGTTCATTTATATAAACCATTTTTAGACATTGAATCATTCATTTCATTTTGAAAATATTTTTTTAATTTCCGACATTTCAAACGCAGTTTTTTTATTTTTTTTTATTTATAAATTGCTTTTGTAAACTATGTTGCCAAAAACTTATCGAACGGTCTCTAACCGGCAAAGGAAACGAACGAATGAACAAGCGAAAGGCACGCGTCACAATAAATGGAGTGTTGAGTGAGCGAATGAATGAAGGAATGAAACAAAGTCCGACTAGTTTGTCCGTTTTCCGTTCACAGATGAATTGAATAATCATAGCTACCGGAAAAAAGGACACGTCAGTTCAAAGTAATGTCGGTGAAAGTTGTTGCATGTACGATAGTTGTTGTTGTTGTTGTTACTGTGAATGTCTATGTTTTGATTACAAGTCAAATTAGAACAATTAGCTTTTATCAGTTGGACGGTGGCGGCGGCGGCGGCTTTGCTAGACTAGATTATTTGCCGTGGCGTTGTGGGACTAAAATTAGCCAAGAAGATAATTGATGGTAAATCGTAAATTATACCAAAGCTGCTAGGATAGTTTTTGTTTGTTTAGACTTGTTTTTGTTGCTGGCAGTGCAATAACCTCATTATTTAAGTGTGGGGATTTTTCTTCGTTTTTTGTAGCAACTGACCAAGGACAAGGAGAATAATGTTGTAAATCAGCAAAAAAAAAAAATAAAATTTACAATTATTTTTCAATGGTTGTAGTTTTGCAATCTTTTGATTTAAAAATTTGAAAGCCCCATAAAGGGTTGTTTACACATAATGTTAGAGTCATATGTAAAGTGAGTTTTTCCACCGTTATCTTTAGCATATTAAAATCATATTTTTAGGCGCTTCTCACAATTTTTGAGTTCAAATGTAACTCTTCGAAATGATGAGTTTCGAGAATTCGGCTGATGATCGGGAAGCGACGATATGGTAATGTTCGGAAATTCGGGTGATGATTGAAAACGACGACGCGATTATGTTCGGAATTCCGGTTGATGGTCGAGAACGACGATGCGGTGATGTTCGGGAATTCGGTTGATGATCGGAAACGAAGATGCGATGAAGTTCGGGAATTTGGTTGATGATTGGGAAAGATGATGCGATGCGCTATTAATACTATTTCTGCGGGTTACGATCACAAACTACTACTATTTTAAGGCACTCCTTACAATTTTTGAGTTCAAATGTAACCCTTCGATATGATGAGTTTCGAGAATTCTGCTGATGATCGGGAAGCGACGTTATGGTAATGTTCTGGAATTCAGTTGATGATCAAAAACGACGATGCGATTGTGTTCGGGATTCCGTTTGATTGTCGGGAAGCGACGATGGGGTAATATTCGGGAATTCCGTTGATGATCGGGAACGAAGATGCGATGAAATTCGGGAATTTGGTTGATGATCGGGAACGATGATGCTATGCTTTATTAATACTATTTCTATGAGCTACGATCACAAACTACTCCATAATTGTATGGACAGGGAATTAGAGGCCCCCCCTTGGGTACAGTAAACCGAAGTCTCTGTAGGGAACGGAAACCTCCGTGGAGTACAGAAAACCTAAGTCTCTGATTGGGACAGTCAGCCGAAGCTTACGTGGGGTACATTAATCCAAAGTCTCTGAGTGGGACGGAAAGCCGAAGCTTTCGTGGGCTACAGTAATCCGAAGTCTGTGTGTGGGACGAAAAACCGAGGCCTCCGGTATAGAGCCTAGAAATATTAAAGTAGAATTGTTTCATTTACTGTGAGGGTATGAAGCCGAACATCTCACCTTCATTCTATAGAATCCTTTACCCCTAAAATTATTAGAAATAACAAAGTGTATCGCTAAATCTCTACAACTTCCCAAATAAGGTGACCAGACTCATGTGTGTCGAATGGCCTACAAAATCGTCACAACCCTTGCTGTAAACAATTCATTTGCAAACTCCTTTTTCTTTTGGAGAATTTTACCGTCCTCGGATCCTGTTGCAGCTTTCTTCACATTGAAATGTGGTACAGGGATCCGAAGACTCTGTGAGGAACGCAAACCTCGGTGGGGGTACAGGAAACCGAAGTCTCTGTGTTATGAATTGACATGGCTTCCACTATGCGACGCCTTTCCAAAAGTCGTTAAAAACACCCGTCGTAAACGACAACCAACAATTTGGGTAACAGGCTCCCTGCAGTAGCTCGCCCCAATTAGCAAATACCAATGCATTAAAGGTTCAGGTGACACGAGGTGAATGAGAATTATATTAGTTGAGCACAATAAATAAAGCAGTGAAATGCAAAAATCGAATGATTGTGTAACTGTACGTAATAGGTAGTGCCTATTACGATATGTACGAGGCACTTGTCAATGATATGTATGTGACACCTGTCACGTTCCAAAAGGTCAGGTGGGGTAAAATGTTAATTTTAAACATACACATGTGTTTCAATTATGCTGGCGCCCAAGCAGTTATAGATTAACGCTTTTTAGGAATAATTCATCTAGAGTTGTAGAAGACAAAATGAAGAGAACCTATTCAGTATGTTTCTTTGCAGCCCTATTTTACCCAAAAAAAATGGAAGACGAACCACAATGGCGCCCAAATGATATAGGAATATTTAATTGTTTTTTATTTCCAAAGAAGGTGTGAAAATCTCTATATCATCAAAAATAGTTTGTGTAGACCCAATGATATCAGAATTGATCCCTAGGACTATTAAGTTTTTTATTGATTCTAACTATGGATATAAGAAAGGGATCTTTGAGGCTTGCGTACACATCATGTAAGAGCCATATGTGGTGTGACTTTTATAAATTTAACATTTAAATACTTTCAAGTACTTATAAAAATTTTTATAATTTTTAAGTAAGACTTTTTATATAAAATATATAATATTGTAATGCTATAATAATGCTATTAATATATTCATCATATATTCAATACTAGAAAACGTTTCTGCATTTAAAAATTCTGGAAAGTTTTAAAAGGTTACATAACAAAGAAAATCCTTTCATTTCGTTCCCATTAAAAATTGAAACAGTTCCCATTTTAACAACAAATGTTAGACCAGTTACGGTGGCGCCCAAATGATAGAGCCTAGAAATATATTTGAAATATTAAAGTAGAATTGTTTTATTTACTGTGAGGATATTAAGCTGAACATCTCACCTTCATTCAATAGAATCATTTAGACCTAAAATTATTAAAAATTTGCAACTTCCCAAATAAGGTGACTAGACAGACTAATGTGTGTTGAATCTTTTTTGTAATCAATTCATTTGCAAACTCCTTTCCCTTTTGGAGAACTTTACAGTCCTCGAATCCTGTTGCAGCTTTCTTCACAATAAAATGTATAAGCGAAAGCTAATTGGAAAGCTTTGAACTTTAGTAACACAAACTGTAAATCCACAAAGTCTTGTCATTGACAACAACCATAATATCAATGTTATTTACATGCCTATATCCTTTTGAAGGACAGTCTAAACACTATATTCGTTTTTTTTTCACAAAGGAGATATAAAAAAGTTAAAGGGCCTTTCATTAGTTAAATATGATTTAAAGGGGCTTCTATAAGTGGAATACCTTATAAAGGGTCTTTTTAATTGGTAGAATAACCTTTGTAAGTTCTCATATTCGTAAAAGGCCTTTTGGCAGGTCTTTCTTTTGGAAAGGCCACTTCAACAGCCTTGCTCAGTAGAAAATCAGTAGATTCCTTTATAAAACTTTTTTTCAGTAGAAGATCCATTGAAGTGTATTTCATCAGTAGAGAACCCTTTGAAAACCTTCTGTCAGTTTAAGACCTCTTGAAGGATCTGTAATCAGTAGAATCAAACTTGCGGGTTGAAGAGTCTTCCGATGATTGAAGATTCTTTAAATGGGCTTCTATTAGTGGAAACACTTTGAGGGGTCTCACATTAGCATAAGGCCACTTGATAGATCTTGTATATGTAGCAGATCCCTTGAAAAGACATTTTGTCCAGTAGAATACCCCTGGAAGTGTATTTTATCAATAGAAAATTCTTTGAAGACTTTCTATCAGTATCTTGAAGGATATTTTATACACCTTGTGGGGTCTTGTATAAGTGGAAAATATCTTAAAGTATTTTCCCATAATTTAAGATTCCTTTAAAGGAAACCCTTTATGACGGGTTTTATATTTGAGGAAACCCTTGGAAGGGATATTAGTAAAAGGCCACTTGACAGGTCTCCTATCTGTAGAAGACTAATTGAAAAGACTTTTTCCCAGTAGAGTGCCTCTGGAAGTGTATTTTATCATTAGAAGACTCTTTGAAGTCCTTCTTTTAGTATAACATTTCTTGAAGGGTCTTTTATGAGTAGAATCCACTTTGTGGGGCCTTGTATACGCAGAAGATTCTTTGAAGGGTGTTATCTTGGCAAAAGACCATTTGAAGGGCCCTTCATCGGTAGAAGACCCCATGATGCGTCTACTATTAGGCGTTAAAGAACCTTCTATGAGTAGAATATTCCTTTGAAGTGCATTTTATGAGTAGAATACCCCTTCAAGGATCTTATATCAATATAAGACCCGTAAAAGAACATTTATCAGCAGAACAACCTTTATAGGGTCTTTTATTAGGGAACTTATATAAGGAGAAGGCGATATCGGTTTTATGGACAGAACACCTTTTAAGCATATTATATCAAAGAAAGACACGTTATTTGGCCTTTTATTAGTCTATGATTCCTTTAAGAGCATTCTTTTAGTAGCGGACCACTTGAAATGTTCTATATAAGGGTCTCCTAGCTTAAAAAAATAAGTAGTGAATATCCTCCACCATTTGGAAAGAATTTGGCAATTTTCAAAAAAATAAAATCAGTTAAAAATTCTGTTAAAATTTTTAAAAATATTAGGACATATGAGACGACTTGGACCTGCAAAGGCGTGTCATAAGCCATTGCAATATTCAAATGCGAAACTTGAAAAAAAATCGATGAATAATGTAACTGAAATCATCAAAATGCCGAATATATATGGGGGCTATAAGAAGACGTGGACCTGCACAGACAATTTTCTGTATTAGGCTGTAGTATCCATTACGAACTTCAAATACCAAATTTGAAAAAATTCCGGTCTATCTACATGGCCCGTTTTCAATATCAAAAGTCCTGCAGACATAATACACATTTGAGTAAAATTTTATCAACCTACTTTATTTCGTTCGGAAGTTAGAGTGATTTCCACAGACGGACATCGCTAAATCGACATAGAATTTTATGCTGATCAAGAATATAAATACCTTGTGGGGCATATTTTTAGGTGCCTATTTTAGATAACAAAAATAACAATATTTAAAAATTGTCTTAAGAACTTCATTGCCCTCGTCTCTGGAGGTTTATATCATGTTTTTTTGTTTTATTAACTTATGCTACATATTTTCGAAAAGCTAAAATATTAAATATATAATATTTATATTTACAAAAAATGAACTTAAATTAACACACACGTCACAGTAAATAATTAACTGAACATTGCCATAAATTAAAAAAATAAAACTTAAATTTATACACAAGTTGTTTCTTAAACATCTATGAAAAATACTCTCTTTCTCTCTCTCTCTCGTCATTTTACATCATCGTCGGATCGCATACTCAAAACAATGAACCCCTATGCTGCATGTGTAACGCCATATTGATATTTCTCTCATTGGCCAGCGAGAATGTGGACGCACTGCGATGTATCTCGGGAAGGCCCTCAAAGGCTGGAATATTGCCCATGCGAGATCTTAGCAAATTATTACGCATATCAATGCGTGGACGGGAATGGCGACGGAATTGCCCAGCCAGGGGCGGTTGTGGGAAGGCAATTTGCAAAGACAAACGTTTCTGTGACAAATGGGCCAGTTGTTCAGGAGTTAGTTCAATAAATTGTGTATTGTTGTTGGGCGATAGCAGCAGGTTGTTGGTGCTGATATTTGATATGTTGTTGTTGCTGGTGCAATTGTTGTTGTTGTTATTATTTGCACCACAGGTGCAGTTGTTGTTCGTTGAGTTCAGTGAAATATTATCACCATCATTACCGCCGCCACTTTCAATATTGAGTATATCCTTGGAATCTTTCGATTCGAAAATCTTAATAATTGGCACTGGTGGGGTGAGAATTATGCCGGCCTTGCGGAATTCTTCAATGGCATCATCATAGGTTGGCAGTCCCGATACAATGGTGTAGGAAGGTAAAGATTCGACTTCGTAATTGGGCGGGCAATTGCGACAAAGTTCCACCGGCTCGGCATTGTTGGTGCGATCTGTAAAGACAAGGGGAGGGGAAAATTTTGATTAGAAAATGGAATAATAAGAGATTTCAAAAAATACGAATTAAAAATTAAATTCTATATCTTTTTAATAATCAAGGGTACCTAAAACAAACTTTACTCTGAGAAAACGGACTAAAATATAAGTCTTTTTTAATGGAAAGGTACTTCAAAGACTTTCTTTCAAAGGAAAAATATTCAATAAATCCCCTTACCGGCATCGGGGGAGGTACCAAAAAAAGTAATCCATCTGTATAACAGATCTTGTGTTGATAGAAATATTGAGTAAATTTCGCGATTTATGAGCTTCATGGATATTCAAAATGTTGACCTTTTGTGGGGGAGGTAACAGAAGGAATGTACCGATATATCTTCCATCTTCACAGCAGATCTTGTGTTAGTAGAGATAATGGCGTGTGTGAAATATGAAGACAATCGAATGCTTATTTCGGATTTTATTATCGTTTTGGTTATTCAAAACGTTGACCCTCTTGTGGGGGAGGTACCAGAAGGATTGGCCGATCTTTACCATCTTTATAACAGGTCTTTTGTTGATGGAAATATTGAGATGTTCCAAGTCTGAATGGAATCGGATGTTAATTTGGTGTTTTATGAGCTTCAGGGATATTCAAAATTTTGAACCTTTTTGGGGGAGATACCAGAAGGAGTGTACCGATATATTCTATTTTCACAGCAGATCTTGTGTTAGTAGAAATAATGGAGTGTGAGGAATATGAAGACAATCGGATGCTTATTTCGGATTTTATTATCGTTTTGCTTATTCAAAACTTGGAACCTTTGTGGGAGAGGTACCAGAAGGAATGACTGATCTCTACCTTCTTTATAACAGATCTTTTGTTGATGGAAATATTGAGATGCGCCAAGTCTCAATGGAATCGGATGTTAATTTCGCGATTTATGAGCATCAAGGATATTCAAAATGTTGACCCTTTGTGGAGGAGGTACCACAAGGAGTGGTCCGATATATTCCATCTTCAGGCCAGATCTTGTGGTAGTAGAAGTAATGGGATGTGTAAAATTTGAAGAGAACCTGATGCTTATTTCGTATTTTATTATCGTTTTGCTTATTCAAAATTTGGAACCTTTGTGGGGGAGGTACCAGGAGGAATGGTCCAATCTCTACCATCTTTATAAAAGGTCTTTTCTTGATGGAAATATTGAGATGTACCAAGTCTGAATAGAATCGGATGTTCATTCCGCGTTTTATGAGTTCAATGGATATTCAAAATTTCGCCCTTTTGTGGGAGAGGTACCAGAAGGAGTGGACTGATATTATCCATTGTTGCACTTGACCTACAACTGACGCAGGTATTAGGATTTGCAAAGTTGGAAGAAAATCGGATTATCCTTTCTCTTTCTGTGCAATAAATTTTCTTTGAAAATTTTGATATTTTGTGTGGGAGGTACCAGGAGGAGTGTACCAATATACTCCATCATAACACCAGACCTTGGGCTAATAGAATTATTGGGATGTGTGAAATTTGGAGACAATCGGACTCTTACATAACATTTTATAAGAGTTGTAATTATTCAAAATTTTGACTCTTTGTGGGGGAGGTACCTGATTGAGTGGACCGATATTGTCCATTATCGCACCAGCTGTAACACTGACGCAAATATTAGGATTTGCGAAGTTGAAGCAAAATTGGATTATCCTTTCTCTTTCTGTGCAGTAAATTATTTTCTTTGAAAATATTGTCATTTTATGGGGGAAGGTATCAGAAGGAGGTGACCGATATATTCCATCTTAACACCAGACCTTTGGTTAATATAAATATTGGGAGGTGTGAAATTTGAAGACAATCGGACTCTTACACCACATTTTATGAGAGTTGTAATTATTCAAAATTTTGACCCTTTGTGAGGAGGTATTTGGCGGACCTAGAACTGGTGCAAATATTAGGATTTGCAAATTTGAAGCAAAATCCGATTATCCTTTCTCTCTCTATGCTAAAAATATATTTTTTGAAAATTTCGAACTTTTGTGGGGGAGGTACCAGAAGGAATGTACCGATATTGCCTATCTCCGAACTCGATCTAAGTTTGATAATAATATTACGATGTATCAAATTTAGACCAAATCGGATACTCCCTTCCAGAGTGCACCAGCCAGCCAGACAGACGGACGGACGAACGGACATCGCTAGATCGACTCCAAATGTTCTGAAACGGATTTGGCCCAAAGAGACCTAGGGCCTAAAACCGTTATTTCGATGAGGCACGTTTTGGCCATATCAAATGATATATACCCTCTCGAGCCATATAGCATAGGGTATAATGAAACGGATTTGGTCCAAAGAGACCCAGTTTCCAAAACCGTTATTTTGAAGAGACACGTTTTGGCCGTATTAAATGATATACCCTCTCCAACCATATGGCTGAGGATATAAAAAGTTACAAAAAAATTAGCGTTCCTTGTGGAAAAAGTTATAAAGATGTTAGGTTCGTCCATCCCCTATAGAAGATGTACTAAAAGCACGTTTTCTCTGGGGAAAATTGATGAAAGACACTATTTTCTTTATTGGAATCGTTACCTTTTCTGGGTATATTATCGTCTCGAAAGTGAAATACTCAAATCAAAATTCAAGTAATTTAAAACCCTGTTGACAAAAGAAATAAATGGAATGAATAATGAGATTGAGCTGAAAATCAACCCCTTTCAGCAGCGGATTACTTAGCATAATGAAAGTCAATTAAAGGGGAGCTGCATTGGCTCACCGAACAAGTGTGCTTAAGTGTTCTGGCAAGTGTCAAGTATGCCCAGGGGTAAATCAAACAAAAGGAGTGGGCACTAATTTACAATATTTGTTTATAAATTTAAAATACATTAAAATAGATGTTTAAAGACCAACATATTTAAATAGGAACACTGAAGTAAAAACTCCCTTATGAAATTACGGGTTCAACTAATATTATACCATATAAGGGTGATTTTCAGTATGGCACTCTGGAAGTAATTCCTTTTAATATTATAAGTGTAGCTGAATATATAACGCCGAAAAGTATGCTTCTACATATGTTGGGAATTCGAAAAGAAGAGCCTATGATAAAATTTTGGAACATAATGTTAGTTTATTATTTAGTGATCAATTCCGAAACGGATTCTTTCTTGTTGACGTATATTAAATTTGAATAGAACTCCTAAAAGTATGTAACAAATTTTGAAAGTTATTATTACAAAAATAATTTTTTTATTTCTGAAATAATATCAAAAAATATTCTAATTTTCAGGGAGCAAGGACGAACATTCATAGCTATTAGTATATGCAATACGCTTTCCAATGTTGTTAGCATATTACAATATAGTCGTGAGTATTATTTTTTAAATTTTATTATGTTTTAAATATTTTGTTCTAACAAAACTTAATAAAATATAACCTGTGAAAGTCTATCAAAAATACAACTAACTTTAATATCACTCCTGAAAGTATGCCACAAATTTTGCCTATTTATACCTATAAATATCCCTTCTTTATAAATTTTATACACCTCAAAGATTATCATCCCTTTTATGGCAATTTACTTCTGTGTTTATCACACAACGTACAATTTTATATTAAACGCCTAAAAGAAAACTTTAAAATAAACAATTTAAGCCATTTTTATTTCTTAAACTCCTATTTTTCCCAAAACTCTCCATAAAGTAAATACCAAATCCTTAAAGTAAAAGTGTGTGGGCACAAGGTCACTTTTCAGGTTTTTTTTGTTTCTCTCAATTCCCATGTTGATATTCTCGCAACTCGTCTCCCCTTAGCCAAAAGTCATCATTGCGAAGCTAAGAATATTTTATGATGAAAGTTAATGTTTAAAGAGTCCCTATGGTGTAAACACAGCAAAGCTGCTGGCAGATAAGGATATACGATGTTGAAGGATATAGGGATTGGTAAAGGACAAACGAACATGCGGTGGCCTTGAAAGGGAAGTGCTTAAAGATATAAATACATATTTATTTAAAGAAATTGTGCTACGGGAGTTGTAATCGTTTACTTTAAGTAATGTTAACTGAAAATTAAAGCATACTTGTAGGAGTTGGTGTTTTAGAAAATGGTATGTTGATGTTTTCGAGAAAGTTTGGTATATTTGCGACATTAGAAAATGGTCTTCCTTGAGAAAATTTATTTATAATTTAAAATTAAAGCATACTTATAGGAGTTGACATTTAATATTTTTCAATTCAAATTTATTGAGTATTTTTTTTAACACGAAAGTTTACAATTTTAAATTGAAGAAAGAAATACTTAAAACTATAATGTTTTGTTTTAATGACTAAAGCGTATTTTCAGCGTCTGGCTTTACTAAAATTTGTTAATTAGTGTTTACTAAACTAAGTGTGTATATCGTGCTTGCTCCCGGCACTACAATGTGAAATTTTGAAATGTTAATTAAAAAAATAATGGGAATTATTGGAATTTTTGTGAGAAGGCCAAGTGGTATTTTCTACATCAAAGGCACTGTCTGGCCTGAGGTACTCTAAAGTACCGGTACTAAAACTTCCTCTTAAGGACCGCTGCAAAAAGGCACAATTACATGTAGGAGGTTATTAAAATGTTACATTTTTGTTTGGGGGAGGTAGTAAAAAACACTTTTTTCGGGTAAAAGTACTTAAAAGCCTCTTACCCTCTAAGGACTAAAATACCTTATATCTTTAGGACAAATACTAAAAGGAACGCTTTCCCTTTTTGCTGAAAAGTGACTTTCCCATAAAGGACTCAAACACAAAAGTACTGTCTGTCCTGAGGTACTTTAAAATACAGGTACTAAACATTCCTCTTAAGGACCGGTGTAAAATGGCACAATTGGCATGTGTAGGATGTTATTAAAGTGGGTCATTTCTTTTGGCGGGGGGAAGTAGTAAAAAGCACTCTTTTCGGGACAAGTACTTAAAAGCCTTTTTCTCCCTAAGCACTAAAATACCTAATCCCTTTAGGACAAATGCTAAAAATATGCTTTCCCCCTTTTTGCTGAAAAGTAAC